ATCGTTATTGAAAAGCAAGTGTTTGAAACCCAAAATAAAGCATACGTTCGCCCAATTTAAGAGTACTTACAAAGTACAAGTAAACCCACTCTGCTGCCACTAAACTGCAAGTCAAAAGGAGACAAATGAATCCCAAGATATTCCCAGTGGTCAGTGGGAATAAAAAAAGCTCTGGCATTGGTGGTCAGTGAAAAGAAAAAAACATTCTCACTGGTGGTCAATAGGAGGAAAAAATGGTGATCAGTGGGTAGAAAAAATGCCCAGGTATCAGTTTGTCAGGGAGAAGAACAACTGCCCTGGTATTGGTGGTCAGTGGGAGAAAAAAATACCCTTTTTTGGTGTCAGTGGGATAAAGACTGCCTTATCATTGATGTCAGTGAGTTAGTTACCTGATAAATGTCCCATGCTGCTGCCTCACTCTGCTTGATGACACTGTCGGAACTATGCAGGTACTGTGTGGGTGGAAATCCTTCTACCCAATTCTGCCTCACTCTGCTTGATGACACTGTCGGAACTAAGCAGGTACTGTGAGGGAGGAAATCATTCTACCCAATTCTGCCTCACTTTGCTTGATGACACTGTTGGAACTGTGGGGGTGGAAATCCTTCTACCCAATTCTGCCTTACTCTGCTTGATGACAGTGTCTGAACTAAGCAGGCACTGTGGGGGAGGAAATCATTCTACCCAATAGTTTTGGAATAGATATGGTTCTAGGTGTTGGAATGATAATTTTTGCTTAAATCCCGGGATGGTGCTCCAGGATCCAAGATTGCTGGGAGTAAGTGCTAAGTGCCTTAAAATAATGTATAGAAGCAACACAAGAAAACTGTAGAGATGTTATGATACGTAGGGCATCACTGAAGTCTGTGCACAATCAAATATTCATGACATCTCCCACACTTATCTTTACTTTCCCAAACATTTTGAGAAATGGAAGCAATACATGATTTTTGAACATAGCCTAGCTCTGGCAGATATTCAGTATGTTTATAGGAAACCTGTCCTTAGGAAAATATTATTTCCCTGGCTGCCATGCTGATATATTATCACTGACCCCAGAATGAGTATCAAAATTAGGGTTTCTCTTTGAAGTAATGCAGCCAGGCAATGAGAATTTTCAGGAGGCCAGCAAGGACACCTTCACCCATATGTCTCTCATGACAGGTAGACTTAGCTCATTTAGATTTTCTAGTATTTCACTAATTTTGCACCCGTTCTGCCAGCAAGCTCATTTTGCAGTATGTACTTATCCTAGTTAAAATGGAGCAGTTGCCCATAGCAACCAGTCAGCGTCTCTCTTTCATTTTCAAAGCTTAACTGTAAAAACTGAAGAGAGAAGCTGATGGTTACTGGGGTAACTGCTCCAGATTCTCTCTGCTCCAGTTTTGATAAATCCCCCTTAATGCCTTGAGATCATAGCCACTTTGTTAGGACAGACATTCCTGCACATCTAGTTAACACCTGTTAGTGAAATATGCCAGCACAGTACAGACAGGGTTAATTAAGTTAAATACAATTTCCTGCCCTCTCATACATTTTTCAATGCAAGTGATAACTAAGTAGGTTTTTTTAGTCCTGGAGTTTTCAGAAAAGGACATTTATAAAGGTGGGCAGCAATTTTTAAATTGTGCTATGTGAATGGGAACATGTAACAAGTACAACATATGCGTTAACCCAATTTGGCTCCAAAAGTGGAAATACACTTTAACCTCCCTGGCAGTATTCCCGAGTGTGGCACAGGGTTAATTTTCAGTACCAATAGCGGTAACCCCGAGCCACACTCGGGATTGCACAAAAGTGTCACTTACCTTGTCCCAACGAGCCCGCCGTGTCCTCTGCTGTGTGCGCCCGGCCGATGCCGGCATCCGTCTTTTAGTTTTGTTTTCGGCGACACAGCGGGGGGCGGAGCCGGCAGAAATTCAAAAGTGAAAACATGACATTTACACAAAATACACACAATACATACAAACAATGGAATCTGCTATGATTTACATTACTGTATTAAATCATTTCACTTCAATTTGTCCAGGTAGAAAACAGCGATAGTAAATTTTTATAATTATTTATTATATTATAATTTCTTATCATTATTTATCATTATTATATTATAATTTTTTAATTTCGTGTTTCAAACTATATCATATCCGGGATATCTATTAGACTCTCGTTTGGACAGATTTAGGTGAGTTATTCCTAAGATTTACTAAGAATTACAGGCCTACAATATAAAACAACAAATTGCCATGAAAAACAATGTACTGCTTTGGCATGCAAAAATACTGCATAATCATACCGCCGGTGAGGTTAATAAAAGCCAATAGCAGGCTGGCTATTGCACCCGTCCACTGAGCAGAGAGGTTATACTAAGAGACAACTTTCTCTCTCAGGTCCGCTCCTCTGCTCAGTTGCTGGTGTTTCAATAACCAGTCTACTATTGGCTATTTCAAATGAAAATAGCCAATAGCAGTCTGGCTATGGTCCCGGCTGCTTACATCCAATCACCTACCGCCTGTGGAAGCTAGCCGGCAGGAGAATGGGGCCGGAGGAGGGGGGGGATGGGGTCTGTGGCGCTGTAGGGGGGGCTGGGGTGCAAGTAGCTGGTATTGCTTAGGGCGCAAAATAGTCTTGCACCGGCCCTGCTTATGTGTTATGGTCTCACTGTGCATACCAGTAATTTGGGTAATTTTGAACTTTACAGAGCAATACCTATATTTTTTATATGGTATTTCCATGAAGGGGCAGTTTGGAACTATTTATACTGTTATTCTTTATACATGTCATTTTCTTACATATTTCTGATATTACTGTGGCCTTTTTTCAACTTGAAAAAAATGTGAAAGTTGTTTTGCTGCGACATCTAACATTTGTTTCTAGCAGTAATAGGCTAAAAAAAGGAAGTAGCAGAGACAACAGATCTAAGAGGTATCAGTAGTTTACACTAGGGCTGGGGAAATTAACGATTAATTCCTCGATTAATTGTTAAACTTTTTGATCGATTAAAATTCTTTTGATCGAAAATGAAAAGACCTCTTCGCAGGCTTTCGGGAGTCCCGTCAGAGATCTGGTGACGTCACGGACATCGACGTCACCTGACTCCTCCCCCCTTCCCCAAGTGGCTCCGTCGGCTAACGAAGAGAAGGGGAAGGAGTCCGGTGACGTTGATGTCCGTTTGTGCGTTATAATTAATTAAAATTAATCGATTAAAAAAAAATTTGATTAATCGAACATGAAAATTTTAATCATTACCAGCCCTAGTTTACACATATAAAAAAAAAAACTAAAGCCATTGACTTTGTACCAGTTGCTAAATGGTGGCAAAACAGTGTCATAACATAGTTTCTGGTCTTCTTTAAGTGCAGTACCACAACTGTGTTGTCAAAAAGTTTACTAAAATGTCAACACAGATTGCACAACCCCATTTCAAAACCACAACCCCATTTCAAAGACGATGCAATTATGCTGAAATTAAAAAGACAGTGCCATATTTCAGAGACAATAGCTAGACATAGAGCATAGTGGCTGGAGAGTATGTAAGCAGCTTGATTGGACTGCAATGTAGGAGGGAGATATTTTTATCAAGAAATACAAATTAGACTGCATTATTTCAAAGGCATCAGCCAGAAATATTGTGCAGACTCGCCACACTTTATGTAAGCAGTTTTACTAGACTGCAGTGTAAAAAGGAGAAATGAGGCAGGTTGAATCATGAAATAAGGATTAGAGTGTAGTATGTCAGAGACAACAGCCAGAAATATTGCACAGGCTTGCTACACATCATTTAAGTGTTTTTACTAAACGCTTGTTAAACACACTTACTAAATGTTTGTGGATTTTAGAATGGCTGGGAAGCCCTGTTTGTAATAGATAATACGTTTGTGTTTATCTAAACAGCAGCTATAGAGTGGAAGATTCATCAGGTACTGGAGTAAGGAAATAAGGAAGAGGGAGCGTAGAAATATTTGTTTTTTTAATGGTCATATCAAGTTGGTTGCTGAGAAATACTGGAAAGAAATGAAGGAAGGAAAAGGGGTAGAGAGGAAGGAAGCAAAGAAAGAAAGCAAAAAAGGAAGGAAAAAAATAAGGAAGGGTGAAAAGAAGGGGGGAATGAAGGAAGGGGAAAAAAAGAAAGAAGGGAAGCAAAGAATGGGAGAAAAAAGGGAAGGAATGAAAAAATGAAGGGAGGGAAGAAGGAAGGAAGGAAAAGATGAAGGTAGGAATGAAAAGAGAAAGAATAAAGGAAAGAAGGAAAATTGGAAGGGAGGGGGAAAAAGAAAGGAAGGGAGGGAGTTTGGAAAAGTAGGGAGGGTGGAAGGAAGGAAGGAAGGAAGGAGAAAGGAAGGGAGTAAGGAAAATGAAGGATGGGAAGTGAGGGAGGAAAAAAGAAAGAGAGAAAGAAAGAAAGAAAGAAAGAAATTAAGAAAGAAGCAAAATGGAAGTGAGGAAAGAAAGAAATTAGGCTCCACCTATGATAGTTCAATAAACCAGATCTGAAGTGTAGCATGAAGGCAGATTCTTATCCTCATCCTCACAGATGAAGACACGGACAGACACCCTTTTTTAGGAAAAAGGTGAAGATACATTTGTTTGGATTACATAAAAGAAATGTCAATCATTATGTGTTGCTTTAAACGATCCCACCCTATCTGAGGTGATGCATGCAAATGTTTCCATGTTCTTCCCAGTAACAATGTGCTCATCATTCTCCTCCCACTCAACCCTTCATTTAAAAAAATGCATCACTCTGGGTGTTTCCACTCTTGATTTTTTTATGTAACAAAATGCATAAATGTGACATTTGAGGAACACAGTTGCATCGCTTTATTTTTTTTCTTCTATCCAAATGCATTTGGTAAACCGTGACAAGCAGGAGCAGCAGCAACAGCAGCAGCGAGGGGAATTGACTGCAATCTGCAATCATTGGTGCACAGCAAGACTGCATATAGCCCGTCCATCCTGTTTCCAGGGAAGAAGCAAGCACACGTTCTCCACTCTCCACGTCCTGCAGGCTTATTTGTCCGACTTGGGATGGCCAAAGGTGTTTGTGAGATGGCTTTAGGGAGCTGCAGCAGGTAGGCAAGAGGCTGCCTGACGTGCCCTCATAGAGACACCAGTGGGCTGCTGTTGCTGGGAGAGACTGTGCTGCTGCGACAGGGGAGGATGAAGCGAGCAGCCCAGGAACGCTCACAGCGCATGCGTCGTCCGAGCCACTGACTATATTCTCAGGCAAAGGTACCTAAGGAAAAAAAAAATCAGCATTTTTATATAAAGAAGAAGCTGCACTGGAAATAAACCCTGGTAGGATTTTATAGCACCAACAGGTAGGACTGTGTACTCTTCCTTCCCTTAACATTCTGTATTTTCCTGTAAAACTGCATGTGTATAAGGCTGTGCAACCAGATCGTTATTTGGCATCATGATCGCTGCTGTTTGTGCTAATAATCCGCACAATAGGAGCATACACGGGCAATGTTCCCATATTACACCCCAAATATTACACGTCTGAGCCTGGAGTGTTGTGGTGGGGGCTGGGGGGGAAGGGAGCTGCATTCCTCTGATAATGAAAAGCCCTAACAAAGGGATGTTTCCTATGGTCATCTTCAACCATCAACCATACAGTAGAAAGCAATGGACAGTCTATGGGGGATCATACATGTACATGTCTACAAGATCTGTGCATGTTTATATGGATGTGTACAAGCTGCATGCATGTATACATGTGTACAAGATGTATGTATACATGTGTACAAGGTGTATGTATGTGTACAAGATGCATGTATGTATACATGTGTACAAAATGCATGTATGTATACATGTGTACAAGATGCATGTCTATAGATACTGACACTGGTCATTACATGGCTCTTTATGGTAGTAGTAAAAAATAGGATGAGCAAAATCAAAAATCAAACCATAAATCCAGATTGTCTTGCCCTCTGGAATAAGAGGGTTGCATTGAAATAGTTGCAATGATTCACATCAATAATGGAGCCTGCTCTCTTATACGCCTAGCTGTGCAGGAGCCATTCAGCTCCAGTATGTTATTCTTTATTCTTTCATAGAAATACTGGGGAAGCAGGAACACTACAATGAAGCTAAAAAAGAACCCCCCACCCCTTCCCCACAATGATACGTTTACACAGGATAAAAAGAGATCCTACAGTGTGAGCTGCTGTCGAATGTGGGGTGTATTTTTACAAGTGATACAAAGCAATTAAAAAACTGTGGGGTGGGTTTTGGGGGGATGGATGATGATGACCACAGTCCATATTCATATCACGAAAGATGGAGGAAATTCTTGTGTTTCTTGTGTATTGGACATAGCCTCAGCCTGTCTAATGTGATACTGTGCTTCCACAGATTATACGTATTCTGTGTGATTGAAATGGGTGTGATCCTTATCTGCTACACATTGGTCCATCTTAGGCTTTCTTCGGGTATCCTGGTCATCTATCTATCTATCTATCTATCTATCTATCTATCTATCTATCTATCTATCTATCTATCTATCTATCTATCTATCTATCTATCTATCATAAACACAGATGCAAGTATCTATCACCAGAAATAAGAACCCACTACCACCCTTTGTTCCTCGTGGTATAAGCTGTAATAATACAAAGTTGAAAAACAAATGCTAGTACTAGAATGTGACTGCTTTTCTGTACTCCATAAATTAACATTCTTATGTTAGCACATTCTCACATCATTACTTGCTAGCTTAAAACTGATAGCTTATGTTTTTTTTTTTTTTTTTTTTT